ACTCGAGTTTGTTTCTTTTGTTGCCGGAACATCCGTCTTGACCAAAGCCTCACCGATTGACGGCAGATGATGACTGGGTCGAGAATGTTTTTCTGTTTTTTTTTTTTTTTCCAGATAGACCCTCGGTCGTTAAAAGGGGATTCTATCAAATCTTGACTTTGTATCGGATACAAAAAGAAAATCCATGAATCGACATTATATTAGCATTTTTTAAAAATCTATTCTGTGTTTATATTTATCTATCTAACAGTTGTTTATAGTTCAATTTCCTTAGTTAGGCTGTAAACTCAATATTGATACAAGAATATTCTCTTATTACAGGGAACTGTAATGATCAACAAGAGCTGCGAAGTGGATTATTTGAAATTTTATACCGTAAAATACTAAATTAGTAATGAATAGAAGCAGACGCCCTAGAGATTTACCAGATTTATACAGTAAATAAGGCAGTTTATGAGGCTTAAGCAATATTAATTACTGTAAAAGTCCCCTTTCTGTTTTTATTTACGTAAGTTGTTATTAAATATGAGTCGAACAAATTGTTATTTAGTCTTTATAAATGATAATAAAACACAATTTTAAATTCAGCTTAAGTAATCATTAACTTCTTCAGGAATAACATGATGAAGAGCATTTGTATCTTTAAGTATAATTAGAAAACCGAACGACTTTAGTAAGTTAATAAAAAAAATTCTAAATTAATCATACAAAAATAATTTTAATTTTCTGACATATTCAAATAGCTAAACGAAAAAAAAATAAGTTTAAAATGAAAAAATCTTTACTTTAAATGCAAATAAACACAAGAATATTTTTTAATCTCAGAATTTCTAACTCTTTCTTGTAAATTCTCTAGTGATTGCATAAACTGTATTCGGAGATTAAAAATATTTTTTTTTTCCTTCTCTGTTTTTATTTTCACTTCCTCTTTACAGTGTTATAAAATTTTCTCAATTGTATCAAGTAGTTAAAAGAAGTTAAACTCGTTACACTGACGTAAATTAAACCGTTTTAAATTTGTCGTATTTATTCGACTAGTTAATCAATATAATTACGAGTTGTGACTGAAAAACAAAAGTTTTTTTTTTGTCTTTTTTTTCCCTCTACTATTGACTGAATAAACAACTCGAAGTGCTTTCTACGCCTTCGTTTCTATCTGGCTGCACTTGTTAACACGAATTGCTGTAAACGCCAGAAAATTCAAGCTCGGGGCGAGAATACATCTCGGTATTCAGTATCTGACCAGAGTTTGCCGTGCACAACCCATGTTTATATAACTATTTAAAGTGATTTACGTCAGAAAGCGTCACATTTTACAATCACCTATGGTCCGAGTTGACATTTATACTCGCTAGACTGACATAGGAGCAGCCATCTTCTCAGCGTGTTCAATCATCGACATCGATCTCGACCGTTATCCACAAGAATGGTTTTGTGGTTGCTAATGTATTTTTACTATACTTCTCATGTACTAGAGAATTGCACGTAGCTAGACATTACTTATCTCGCATAAGAGGATACGTTCCTCTATCGTCCGAGATTACATCTAAAAGATTATTTTACTCTTCTAACGAAAATAAAAAGTCTTCAGGAAACTTCTTCTTACTGTTTTCATTTATATTTGGTAATAAAATATTATCATATGCTATATAAACTAGAATTAATGTGGTCGTTACCGATAGCCAGATTGTTTAATAGCTATAGTTTAATTTTTAATAGGAATCACGTTTTCTTACATTTACAATGTAGATAAGTTTGTAAATTTAAAAAAAAATTTTAATTGATAATAAAATGGTTATTATCATTACAGATCAATAACTTTCTAATTTGCAAAAAAAATTTTTTCGCTTTATATAAAAAAAATTAAAGTAATTTTAGATTTTAAAATGCCGTTGCTAATTACAATAACGGTAATTTCTATTCAATGTTTTTTTAAAAAATTCTCCTTTAAATTTTCACCAAATTTAATTTATTCTACAAATAATTTTTCCGTAATGATAATTTCTTTGGTATTTTAAAATCGTTTTAATTGATATCTGCGTAGGTTTTCCAGATGAAAAATTAAAAATGGAGGACAAATCGTTCTAAAAAAAGGAGGACATTTCGGATGTGTTCGAATAGACTTGAAGAAAAAAAATAATAATAATAATTTATATCAATCGATATTTTATTACAAAAAATTAATTATTGTAGTTTTTAGTTATTTAATTTTGACGACAATTCTTGAACGTTGTGGAAAATGGAGGACAAAAAGGAGGACGGTGCTTTCTCTTTCATACAGTTTTTTTTAAAAATTGAGTTTTAATTAATATTTTCTAAATTAAACGAATGAAATTTTATTCATTAAAAATTGTTATCATAGAAAGGAATAAAAGAATACGAAAGGAAGAAAATAATCAATAGATGTTGTAAATAAAATGAATAGAAGTTAGTTATGAATGAACTTTTATAATTTTAAAACGAATTAAATGATGATATTGAAGATATTATATCTTTGATGAATAGATACGTCAAAACGAATTCGATAAAAATTCAAAGAAAAATCTGTAAAAAGTCAAAAAAGATTGGAATGTAACAAATGTATTTTTTTCCTTCTTTTTTTATACAGATATACAGTTCAGTTTTCAGTTGATAAATGAGAAAGAAAAAGAAAATAAAACTCTTTCGTATTTTATAAAATTGTTATTTAAATTGATGAATGGAATAAATGCGCTCTTTTTCCCCCCGAATGTATCGTGTTTCAACTATGGTCCTTTCCGATGTACATAAGAGCAGTACAATCACGCAGCAGAAATTTTAGCTTACCGAGAGCAGCATTCTCCAACAACAACATTGCCAACGTTGCCTTTAGCGGCAGGAAATAGGAACGATTGATCGATCAATAGATCAATATCCTCGAAGAGAAAGCGAGAGTTTGGATTCCTCTCAGACCTATGTTTAGCCAGATGCATTTCGGCAATTATCATTGGCAATTTTAGCAATTAGGTCAATTCCGAAGGCCAAATAAGTCGAGTTAATGTAGCAAAAAATATAAACGTGTAGAGCGAAAAAACTAAGTAAAAATAGTTTGTCCTCTAGGACCACTCATAAATACGTTGTGCATAAAAGAATGCGAGTGTTCAGACATTTTCCGTGCGGTCATGACACTACAGGGAGCATCACTGACGCCTACATCAATCGTTATCTGAGTTCTAGACTATTGGATGGGCCGAGTCAATGACTTCGCAAGACATGTAAGAGGAACAAATCAGTACACACCATTCTTAACTTATTATATAAAGAACTTCCTCCACGTCAAAAATTGGACGACAGGAAATCCGTAACGCGTCCTCACGCGTTAAAAAGTAGAAGGGAAGATTACTATGAGCGAACTGTAGTTACTGATGTGTGAAATATAGATTCTTCTACCTAAAGTAATAAAGTTGTGTCATATTGGTGACAAGAAATCGATAGTATTAATGTACGATTACTTTCAGCCGTTCTCTACATTATCTAGTCGCAATTCTAGTTTAATTACACGATGGAGAATGTAATACCCTTGATTGCACATCGACGCACTTTACAGGATCTTGTTACACTGGAATAGCTGCATCTGGCTTCTTCTTACATGCCTTCTGCCATCTTTAGTCGTTACTCTTCCTTTGTCGTATCACCACACTTTCTGCCCGTTTCACTCGGCATTTCTAAATGATGATTGGTATGTTACCACGCATGGCCATATTTCTGAGCCGGACGAGTACCATTTCGTTTCGATGCGATGCTCCACATCACCAATTTTCCATTTTCTGGCTACATATTACCACTTTTCAATCGTTACTTCCGTGCAACTCGTTGCTAAAGTTAATGTAAATCATTAAGATTCAAAAAAAAATTTTTTTATGTTGATTTGCAAATATATTTTTTTAGTTAAATTCTTTTTTATGTAAAAAAGTGAAGCTTAGAACATTTAGAGAATGTTCTAAAATCGACATCTGCCATGTTTTCAAACCATTAGCTTTCTATGAATGAAATTATTTGGAAAATTTGCATATAATTTAATCAATGCAGTTTGGTGAAATGAAACAGTAGAAAAATTTAAATTATTAAATATATTTCTTTAGTTTTTTTTTATTATCGAATTCTTTCGGTCAATTAAATGTTAAATAAATCAAAGTTTTATATTATGTCTTATTTTCATTGTAGATTTTTCTGCTTTTTTAAAAAATTTCAACGTTCATATAATCAAATAAGCAGACAAAAATGAAAATTTTAATATTAATAAATTAAATTGTCTTCATATTATGTTTCTAGACAGAACTCAAAACGTTTTAAAATATTTTTCTGATTAATATACGCTACAATTCATTTATTGTAAAAATTTATTTTTAATATAAAAAAATGCATTTAGAAAGGCTTATATTCGACAAAAGAACGAACAATTATTCATCTTTATAATTTGTAATTATAGAAAAAAATTACGTTTTATTATTATTATTTTTAGGTAGTTGTATATTACAAAAATTCATATAAACTTTGAAAGGAACTAACAAAAGCTAAAATGAGGAATAACTTAATAAAAAAATCCGTTTTCTGTCTTATATTTAATTATCATCTACTAAACAAACATCTGCCAAACAATTTCTTATATAATTATCACATTTTAAAACGATCCTACTTTGTATTTTCTTCCTTCTACACGTCTTGCAACATATTAAATTAATCAGGAGAGGTTTTAGTAAAAATAGCTTCGATGCAGTTTCTCGCTCAGATTGTGATTTACATCAAGTGGAAATTTAATGAAATCTGCCGACTAAAAGAAACATTGCTTCTTCCATCAATTAAACATGACTAGAGTTTACAGAGTAGAAGCAATGTTGACACAAGTACTACAGACCTATGTGTAATTACGGTTTTTGATGGGCTGGGGATCCATCCACACCTTCAACATTCGTCCAAGACTGCCACAGAAAGAAAATTGAACTTATTACATATTTAACTATTATTATTGTTTTTTTTTACAGGAAATACAGGACTCGGAATAACAGGAGAAAGGTTTTCACTAGCCGATATAATTAAAGACGATTTCGTTCCCAGATCTTTCAATGGCACTTGGGTACCAGGTAAGATTATTTATATCCGTTGTAAATTTAGTAACGATTTACGAAGAGAAAAATAATTAAAATGTAAAAAAAAAGGTTAAATAAAACGGTATAAAAATGTTGTATGGCAATATATTTAAAAGCAGAGGTTTTAGAAAGATTCATAAATCATTTTGCATGGTCGAACATGTATTAGAGTCGTGTCGAGCATTAAGCTATCAGCAGAGAGATTGAGTTATGTTTCCTAGATATTTATCCGATTGTTTGAGAAAAAGAGAGTTAAATGGCACCAATCCCATAAAACGACTGCAGATTTATAGGAAATCGTAGCGTTTCTATCACTATAATCGTTGTATTGGATAACATTAGAAGACTGCAGTGCCCTTTAGTGTTTTGAAGTTTGAATTACACCAATTTAGTTAACCACTTTTAGTTATAACCGGTTGAAGGGTTTTGTGTTTCTATCCTTCTGATGTTTAATGCATCCCAAAGCATTTATCGAGTGACCCTTGATGTGACAATTACTTTAATCCATCTAGATTTGGTGCAGTTATCTCGTGTGTCCAGATCTGAAGTTTAATGAATTAATTTTCTACCGTTTCACGCTGCTGTAAAATATTTTATACTCTAGCAATTAAGTAGTTTGCGATTAAGTTGCAAATCGTTTGCTGCATTCGATACCTTAATTGCATTAAACTGCTGAGAAAATTGCTATTATCTGCATAAATTAGTCAAAGTTTGATTAAAAGATGAGCATATAACGTTTTTATTCAATTAAATTAGTCGAGTTTCAAATTTGGGGATTAGCCAAGGATTTCCTCTTATTGCGATTCCATTTTATGACTTCCATCAAAAATTTTTTTTCGTGATTAGAAATATGATTAAATTTACTGAAGCCTTTAAAATTGTGATCATGGTTAAGAAGCCATAAATGGTTACAGATTTATAATTTGATTTTTTCTAGTAGAAAACTTGGAAGTCGCAAAGTCACAACTTCTAGAAAATCAAAACTAATGGATGAACCACTATTTTTTTTTATCTATCGTGAATCAAATAATAACTTGATCTTGGCGTTATAACGTTGAAGACACTTAAAGTTTCTTTACAAAAAATCAATTTTAAGTAAAATACGACTTTAAAAAAGACAAGATTAATTATAAAATTTAAACGAAAAAAATCTGGTTAGCCATTTATAAGGACGGTAAGATAATATACCACAGAAAAAAAACTGCAAATTAAATCTTATTTAGTGCTAACTATCAACATTAAATAAAATTTAGCGCATGGTTTGACTTGGAAGCACTTGGAAACACTCGCTTCTAATTTTGCAAAGAATCCAATTGAGAAGATAAAAAAAAAATATCCGGCAACAAAGCTTAGAGGCCGTTAAAATTTGTTGATTTTTACCTGTATAGCTATCAGAAATGCAAATATAAAGAAGGATATGAATACTTGGAAGGATAAAAGGAATTTTTTAAATCGCAAATTGAAGTAGAGTTTCTTGGTATTATATTTCTATGGTTTTCTTTAAAGAACACATTAAACCATTAAAACGTTATTTGTAAGGAATATATTCCTCTGCACGAATATAAATATAATTTTTTTTTATTGCGTACTGTACGTAAAAGAAAAATAAAGTAAGAAATCGAAAATTGAAACGTATCGAGTTACTCTATAATTCTAGATACATTCTTTAAATCGAATTGACGAAATGGTAAAATCAGAGAGGATACAAAAGTCATTGGTTGTTTTTTCTTGTCGTGTTTCGTGCAATAAGATAAAATTACCTAACCTTATTTAATTAAACGGATACTGCCGAGAATGTCATTTCGTTACAGTTGGAAAACACGATGAGAGACAAAGAATAGCTTCCTCTTCAGTACTACCTTCGGGAGTAGTGATTACAGTGCAGGTTGCGAGTTCCAAGCAAGATTCACTTTATCAATGCACTCTTTCTTGTCAGTGAAAGCCTAAGAGAACCCCCTATGTGGATTGGCGAGATTGAATCTGGCTGCTTTCCAAAGTTGTAATGTCAAGTCGATTACCAATTGACCCATTCTCTTATCACCATGAGAATTCTAAACCTGGGTGCTATGATTTACCTGACTTCAAACGTTGGATCGAAACAAAGCCACTTCTTACGGGATCCAATCTGTCATGTCTGTCCGTCCTCCGTGATTGGTGTGTAGTCTCATGTCAAATTTTTTAGGACGCTTCTACTAGAGAAGTTTAATGCCTTTGTGTTCAGATCCCGGATCGAAAGAGTCCAAATCAATTTTAAAACTTTTTTTTTTTACTATGTTTAGAGTTTATGTTATAAAATATTCTGATAAAATAAGAGATAAGAACGGAGATAAAACTAAGTATTTTTATATATATAACAATTTCACTTTTTTTAATTTTATGGGTGTATTTTACAGTTAAAAATATTAATTTATGTATTTTAATATCTAAAAAAGAATTGAATTCATTTGAAAAAAAGAAATAAAATTATATTTCTGCGGTTTATAAAACTAAAATACTCTGAAATGTTCGATAAAACTCGGTTAAATTCTCATGGAAACCGGAAAGAAATTAATATTTAAATTCGATAACGTTTCCAATATACTTTCAAAACATGCAAAATTCACAGATTAGTTATAGATATACGAAGGATATTCATGAAAAAATATTTCGAAATTCCATTTTATAGATTCCGATCTGGATTATTTATTCATAGAATTAAAAAAAAAATCCGTCGACCCTACAAAAAAAAATTGAAGCATTCATATCAAAACTTAAATTATTTAACTACCTTAATAGAATTTTTTATTAGCTTTATTGAAGTGTTACGGTTCTTTGTCTTTTCTCTTTTATAAAAAAAAGGAGGAGGGGAAAAATAGAAACTAAATTGAAAACGTTATGAAAATGAAAATTATCTATAACTTAATTTCCTTTATCTAAAGTGAAAATAACATTGTCCGAAGATGTTGCTGATGAGATTATAAATTACATTTAAGCAACTATTTCAAGACGTTCTGACATATAAATCTTATATCTTAAATAAAAGAAAATACATTTAAAAAGAATTTAATAATACAATATTGGAAATTAAATCAAGGATGAAGCAAATATTGAATTTATATTTTCACACGAGACGAAGTAAAGTCGATCATACACCTTTTAAACATGATGTGAAAGATCCCATATTTCTAAAATTCTGATCTCGTTTCGACATAAAACCGGTATTTTTTAGAGATCCTTTCGTGCTTTACACGAATCTACATATTGTCGAGTACACTAAAAAAAAGTTTTTCGGGCCGATAAACGTAGCTCGGGATTGATATAAACAAACTATAAACCATTTGGCTTATGGAATTCTTCCTGAAGCTACTTCAAACTTTAAATTGGCATAGATAGTAATAGGAAATCACTATAATGATGTAATATGTTTTCATAAACTTATCATTTGAATTTCACTTTATATATTCCTGTTTACTCTATATTACCCTCTGGTTATTTTTCTCGAAAGTGTAATGCAAACAAGGCATTGTTGAGGATCGTGTTTATATGCTCTACTTCAAACTATTATATGAATATATATAATCGTTAAAAATAAGTGTTTATCTAAAGTTTTATTTTTAGAAAAATTGATAATTTTCGAAAATATTGATTTAACCTCGTTGTCCTGCTAAGATGGTCGCCGTCATCTTTTCATACTTGGTTATTAGAGAACGGTTGCTTTGGGAATTTTTCATGATTTTTATTTATAACTCCTATAAGACTGTTTTGATGAATACTGATGATTTTTTAATCATAATCTTCTCTCCAACATGCTCTTGCAAGTGTTAAATATATTACACTGTGTATATGAAAGATAGCGCTTTAAAAGTATATATCAAAATGCTATCTCTTATATGCACTCGTAGTACTTCTACAGTAATAAATTATGTAAATTAAACTAAGTTATAGAAACTTCTAGACATATTTATCTATTTATCAATTAAATATTACAAAAAAGTATTTGTAAAATCGAAGGAATGTGCCAAAAAGTTTTATTTGGTTCAAAATTTAATTATAATTCTTCGAAGCGTCATTTAGTATTTAATTGTTTATATAATAGTCCCCAGTTAACATTAATAATTGTAATATTCGATAATTAATGTCTATAGGGACAATTGACTCCTACAATAATTCAGTCGGAAACATTTTCAATATTAAATAACTGTAAATATTTTATTTATGATGTTTATAATCCTACGATTCTTTAATTAAATTTGAGATAAATTTAATTAAGAATACATCTCGATTAAATAATTAATGAGAAAAACAAAGCAGACATGGGAATATTGTTGATCCATATATCGGTAATGAATCGAATTTGTGCTGGAAATTGTATGTTTTTATTCTTTCATTCTATGCTTTTTTATGGTAGACGATGATTTTTTTAAACTGTATGTTAAATAAGTCAAATCTTTTGTATGTAGGTCACGTTTTTGTGATGTTGAGAGAGAGTTTAAGGTCAAGAACCATTCAAATATCCAAGTGAAATACGAGGGAAAGGTTATCTGAGTATTGTAAACACGTGTTTGAACGATATCGAAGCTTAAAGATGCCGAAAAGCCAGATAAAAATAAAAAAATCGCATCTGGTATTTTCTCAATGGCTAGGTAAGCCCGACCATCTGGAGATACCTAGCCATTGAGAGAAAGAGAGAGAGAGAGAGAGAAAAAAATAATTTTTGCGGCAAAATTCAGAAAAAGAATCATATTCACATCTGGGAATTTTGCCAGAAAGGTAAAAATTTTTGCCAAGAAGTCTTTTATCAAAGATAAAAATACGATTTTTACAAAAGAAAATGTTTACCCAGCAATTATCCTCGGGTTTCTACTTCTGACAACTTCAGTTTTGTATACGTTAGAAATAATAAATTATAAACTTGTAAATTAAATTAAACGCCTCAGGTTCTTAAAGTAAAACAAAGATTGAGTATATTAAGAAAATGAAAAGGTTCATCTAAATTGAAGTATATATTGTTTGAT